TCCATTTCTGAAGAAGGGTCCCGACCCGAAACGTCAGCTTTCCTGCTCCTCTGATGCTGCCTGGCCTGCTGTGTTCCTCCAGCTCCATACTGTTATATATGCAACACCTTCTGTGCGTTATCCCTGTCCATGCCCCTCATGATTTTATAAACCTGTATAACCCCTCAGCCTCCAACACTCCAGGGAAAATAGCCCCAGCCTATTTAGCCTATCCCTATAGCTCAAATCCCTCCAATCCTGGCAAATCTTTGTAAATCTTTTCTGAATCATTTCAGGTTTAACAACATTTTCCCTATAGCAGAGAGGCCAGAATTGAATGCAGTATTCCAAAAGCTCCTGTACTCAATGCGCTGACTAATAATGGCAAGCATACCAAATGCTGCCTTCACCATATTATCTACCCCATTGACTCCACTTTCAAGGAATAATGCATCCACAACCTTAAATCTCTTTGTTCGGCAACGCTCCCCACGACCCTACAATTAAGTGTACAAATCCTGCACTGATTTGCCTTACCAAAATGCAACACCTTAAATTTATCTAAATTAAATTCCATATACCATTCCTCACCCCATTGATCCATCTGAACAGCATCCCATTGTACTCTGAGATAACATTCTTCATTGTCCACTCCACCACCAATTTTGGTGTCATCTGCAAACTTACTAACCATTCCTGTTGTATTCACATCAAAATTTCATTGTATAAATGATGAAAAACAGTGGACCCAGCACTGATCCTTGTGGCGCACCATTGGTCACAGGTCTCCAGCCTGAAAATCAACCCTCCACCACCACCTTCAGTCTCCTACCTTCTAGCCAATTTTGTATCCAAATGGCTAGCTCTTCCTGATTCTATGTGATCTAACCTTGCTCATGAGTCTACCATATAGAACCTTGTTGAACGCTTTGCTGAAGTCCATGTAGACAACATCCACTGCTCTGCCCTCATCAATCGTCTTTGTCACTTATTCAAAAAACTCAATCAATATAGTGATACATAATTTCCCATGCTGAAAGCCATGTTGACTATCCCTAAATAGTCCTTGCCTTTACAAGTACATGTAAATTCTGTCCCTCATAATCCCCTCCGACAACTTACCCACCACTGACGTCAAGCTCGTTGGTCTATAGTTTCCTGGCTTTTCCTTACCACCTTTTTAAAATAATGGCACCACATTAGCCACCCTCCAGTCTTCTGGCACCTCACTCGTGGCTATTGATGTTACAAATATTATATACAAGGATCAATTAAATATTCAGCAGCATACATTGCCCCCAATTATTTCAATCCTAAATGTAGCCTTGAATTACAGAAATGGACCCTGAAAATTCATGAGTCAACTTTTATCAACAGCTTACTATGTTAATAATTCTTTGAGTAACACCAACATGCTTATTAAACATGTCCATAATCCATGCTGCATAAGTTGTTCTCTTCCAAGAATTCAGCCCTTTGATCTCTTAAAATTTTTTTGAGTAATTTCCTTGTGCTGTTTTTGAAAATCCAGAAAACTGGATAACTAAACCATTCTCATTTTACAGCAAAATGTCTTGGGAACTTGTAAATATAGTTACACTATAGAAAGTTACTCGATTTTCAAGGGTTGATGTCATCATCACTTAGGTCTCCTGTGTCCTTTATGTTCTTTTATCTGTCTGTGTAAGTTGTAATGATTGTCCTTTACAGCTTCCTGAATCTTTGCCTAATGGGCTGAATTACCCACAGGCAGGTAGCCACCCTCACCAAGGGCAAAGTGCACTAGGGTCTTCACCACAAAGCCTGCAGCATCGAACCAGGGAACAGCAATATGAAGGAGCTGTATCGAAGGTGACTCTTCAGCAGTATCAGAAGCCTTTGCAGATTGCCATTTCATCTTCACAGAACATTGCCAGTCCTCGAGCAACTCAACCCAGCAGGTGTCTGACAAGTATTAAACCACAAAAGAGCACAGAAAGCTACCAGGAACAGGTAAAATTGGTACCTTATATAGATATTTCTATGAAGAGGTCGATTAGTCATGCAATTAGTAAAGTTTTTGATGGTTCAGGAAATAAATCCATTGTACAGAATGATATTCAGAAGTACCTTTACAGACTAACAGGATCCCTAGTTCACTACATATTCTGTGATAGGTTTTCTATGCTGACAATAGGCACTATAAATAAAATCTTTATCACCACACCAACAGGAGAAAAATGGATAAGTTTTCTGCTGTTAACTCAGAGTTACCCTAGCTGTAAAAGTGTATGCAAATCAGATAAGGTCAGTGTTAGACTTGGCTGCAAAAATTATCAACCTCTAAGGTCACAAAGGAAGTATGGAATTATGAGAGAAATAACAGTACCTTTGGAACCACACTTATAGCATGAATGCTAAACTTATTGATCCATCTTGAGACCATAAGACCATAAGGACATAGGAACAGAAGTAGGCCATTCACCTGGTTGAGTCTTCTGTGCCATTTAACAAGATCATAGCTGATCTGATAATCCTCAACTCCACTTTTCTGCCTTTCAGTATAACCATTAGTAGCTGTAACTTCAGCTGTTGAGGTAAGCGTACAGTTGAAGCAGACAGTGAAGAAGGCAAATGGTATGTTGACCTTTATAGCAAAAAGATTCAGGAACAGGAGCAGTGTTGTCTTGCTGCACTTTCAGTGACTTGTGTACAAGAACACCCAGATCTCATTGCACCTTCTCCTTTCCCAGTCTATTGCCATCCAGGTAATAATCTCCTTGCTGTTTTTTGCTACCAAAGTGGATCTCTTCATGGTTATCCACATTATACTTCATCTGCTATGCATCTTCCCACCCACTCAACTCGTCCAATCATTCTGAAGCATTTCTGCACCCTCCTCACAGTTCACCCAGCCAGCAACAGATAACTGCAGCATTCACTACTGCTGATGATCTAAGACACTAAATTAACAATTGTTTTGTCAAGTCATAACCTGATGCTTCAAGGACACCAAAAGACTCTAAACTGTATATTCTCTTATCTTCCTTTTGTATTGGACACTATTTCCTTTTTAACGTAATGCATATGTGTGAGGGATAGGGCTTGGGAGAAGCTCAGTTAGTTTCACACGCCTGATGTCATGTCTTTATTTTTTTCCTGGGGTTCGCAGATAATAAGTTTGCTCTTGCTTTCACTCAAAACCTTGTAATTGGCTCCTTACTGCTCCAGTAGAAATTAGTTAGCTACATTTTAATTAGAGAAAGGTATAGCTTCATGCTAAAGAAGAAAATAAATCTTCATGGTGGCCAACTGGGGAGGTTGAAAAGGTCAGGCAGCATCAGAGGAGCAGGAGAGTCGATGATTTGGGTTTACACCCTTCATCAGTCCTGATGAGGGAACCCAACCTTTCAACCTCCCCAGATGTCGCAAGAACTGCAGATGCAGAGTCAATACAATGTGGAGCCGGAGGAATATAGCAGGTTAGGCAGCATCAGAGGAGCAGGAGAGTCGATGTTTCGGGTTTACACCCTTCATCAATCCTGCTATCTCTGGGGAGATTGAAAAGTTGGCTTCTGCCTCCAGTACTCCTGTAATGCAGGGATGATTCCAGAGGACTGAAGATTTACAAATGTTTCATCCTTGTTCCAAAAAAGAAAGTATAAGGATAAATTCAGCAACAACAGGCCTGTTAGTTTAACTTCAATTTTGAGAAAGCTTTCAGAAGCAGTCATCTGGGACAATTAACATTGAGTTGAACAAGTGTGGATTAATTCAGCAAAATAGGCATGGATTTGCTGAACGTAAATATATTCAACTAACTTCATTATGATTTTTAATTTTAAATAGGGGCTAGGTAAGGGTAATGCAGTTGTTATGGCATTCATTGTTTTCCAAAAGGTATTTGATAAAGTGCTGTTTAATAGATGTGTCAACAAAATTGAGCCCATCGAATGAAAAGGACCATAGCAGTATGAATGCAAAGTTAACTGAGTGACAGGAAAGGAGGATGAATACTTGTTCTTCAGACTGGAGTGAGGTTAATAATGGAGTTTCCCAGAGTTGGTGTCAGAACTGTTTGCTTTTCTTGATATGTTAATGGCCTAGACTTAGGTATACAAGCAACAATTCTAAAATTTGGATATAACACAAAACTTGGAAGCACTAAGTGTTAGGAGGATTGTGACAGTCTTCAAAAGAACATAGTCAAGTTAATAGAATAAGAAGCACGTGGCAGATGAAATTTAACACAGAAAATTGGAACATGATTTATTTTGATAAGAAGAATGAGGAAAGACAAAATGAAAAATACTAAATAAAAACTGAAAGTAAAGAATACAATTCTAATGGGGATGCAAGAACAAATAGATCTGAGGGTATGTGTGCACAAGTTGTTGAAGTTGACAGGGTAGGTTGAGAAAATATAAATAGGAATATTAGGCTTTATAATTAGAGATATAAAGCATAAAAGCAAGCAAATTATGATGAACCTTTACAAAACACTGGTTCAACCACACTCGAGGTATTGTTTCCATTTCTGGGTACTGCATTTTTGTAAGGATGTGACCCGGTGCTGAAAGGTTTCATAAGAGTGGTTCCAGGGATGAGGGGCTCATGTTACTTGAATGGACTGGAGAAACTGGGTTTGCTTTCCTTTAAAGAGAAGGTTGTGAGGAGATTTGATGTGTAAGTTCAAAATCATGAGGGATTTAGACAGTAGATAGAGAGAAACTGTTCCCATCGGTGGAAAGGTAACAATCTAGAGGATATAGATTTAAAGTGGTTGGAAAATGAATCAAAAACCAAATACTCAGTAATCTGGTATGTGCTGCCTGAAAGAGTGGAAGAGGTGGATTACAGCATGGCTTTCAAAGTCAAGTTTATGCGCAGGTGAAGGGAAAGGAAATTTTAGAACCACAAGAAAAGGGCATTGGAGTTGGAATAGCTAAATTGCTCCTGCCTATAGCTTGTACAAGCTTAATGAGTCAAATTGCCTCCACCCATCCTATCATCATTCAATGATTCTGTGGAACCTTTCTGACTTATGATGCTTAGTCCAATACCAAACAGTAAACTTACTGATCCATTACAGCTAAACACCAGATGAACTGATCATTTATAACAGTTTACTGAATCTTACCATATCTATATCAGAATGGTCAGTATTATTGTACTTGCATTAACTATCCTATTGTTATTTTCTTTTTAACTCAGTTTTGTGTGAGAATAGAGAAGAACCCTGGTCTTGGCTTCAGTATAAGTGGCGGAATAAGTGGACAAGGGAATCCATTCAAGCCTTCAGATATGGTAATCATAAAGAAAAAAATATATAATTGCAATTGTCCCTGATCACTTACAGGCTACAGTAACATTGCACTACCCTCCATAGGTTGATGCCAGCTATCAAAGGATGAGCAGAAGTCAGCTACAGATGGTAAAGGGAAATGGTGTAAGTCAGCGAAGCTGGTTCTTCATTAACAATAAATGGCATGCTTTATAACTCTCCTGAAATTAGGATTATTGTCTTCCCTCAATTATTTTATTGATTTATCTAGCAATAATTTCAAAACACCCAAAATATCCCCAATTAATTATTGTAGTCTACCATTCAGTTTTTAAAATATTTATACACTTCTCACAACTTGTTCGCAGAAACCTAGATTAGCCCTGATGTTATTTTACATTATCATTATTTATCATGATCATTTACATTTACTTTAACTTGCTTAACACCAGTGTTAAATTAAGGCAATTAAAAAATTGAGCCAGAATTGTATATGCAATGTGACATAGTTATGTTCTCACATGGTAACAGTCTTGGGCAGTGTAATTTTGTAAATCCTCTGTTTATGGTTCATCTTTATGGCATCAAAGTCCCTCATAGGACCTAATGTGTTCAGACTTTGCAAGGTTTTTGCAATAGTTTCAGTAATATCCCCCACATATTGCAAGAATACATACAATATTATTCGGTCTAGGGAATCAGCTGTTTACTTGAACATGGCGGTTCCCATGTCCCATATAAACCCCAGTTAGGCCCAGAACATGCATTATACATTAGTTATTTTTGACCTACTTTAGTAGAAAGCTTCTCAGCTATTAAACAATGGTAACAATCATAGGGCCTGAAGTATGATCTAGAAGAATTGTACTGAATGTGGGATGTTTTAATTGCAGGAATGATGAAAAAATTACAGGATAATCATACTTGATGCTAAAATACTTCAAACACTTTGAGAGCCATATTAAAGTTCACCAATTTGACATGAATGCCCTATCTGGGGCAACAAAATGTCGTGTCAAAACATATCTTTCAAAATCATTATCCTGTTCAAATCTCACTAATTATGTTCAGTAAATGGGTGAGGGGTAGGGTATACCATATAATTGCCTTGCAGACGTTGTCCAGCTAGAAGTGAGGGATTAGATACAAGATGTGAAAAATGGTACTCAGACTTTTTGGAGAGCTAAATCATATGCTGGAGAATATGTTCCATTATCTCAGGCATGTCTCCATGTAATGCAAGTAGCTACCAAGATTTCTGAGTTTGGTGAATGTAGGAACAAAGTACTTACATTGATGTTGCCTTACAGGTAAGAAACTTGATATTGTATAAAGCATCAAACAATATATCCACAGCTTAAAGTTACACCAATTTTCCCTGAGTCCACCACAATTTAGCAGTGCCTCAGGGATTAAATTGGTGCCACACAGCTCTCCTGGGACAACCACTCAGAAAATCCTAAACAAAAACAAAGTTGCTGGAAAAGCTCAGCAGGTCTGGCAGCATCTGTGGAGGAGAAAACAACTGTTCTGAGGAAGGGTCACTGGACCCGAAACATTAACTCTGTTTTCTCCTCCACAGATGCTGCCAGACCTGCTGAGCTTATCCAGCAACTTTGTTTTTGTTCCTGATTTACAGCATCCACAGTTCTTTCGGTTTTTACTCAGAAAATCCTGTTGGCTTCGGAGAGGAGGGGGCAAAGTGTCTGTTGAGAGGGGATGTCACCTCATGTCAGGCGCTCTGTAACTGCTGAATACCAATTCCCTGTCCTTGCTGCTGATGATCCTCCTTGCCTATTGTCTAATACGTACCACCCTTGCACACCATTTGGACTGAAGTCCCAAGATGTTCCTGGGCCTCTGGTGGATGCAGTGCTAGGCAACCACTGCTGTTGATGGACTTGGCAGCAATGACATTGCCTGTCTCTGGCCTTATACCAGAGTGTTGAAAGAATTGACTGTAGAAATATTAATAACGTTGATGATCATCTTTCAGAAGTAGATAGATTCTGGAGTGATTCCTGCATATTGGAATGTGACAAATGTATCCCCACTCTTTAAGTAAGAGAGAGAGAAAGAAACCTGGGAGCTACAGAGAAATGTTGGAATCAGTAATAAAGGTTTTTGACTTTTTGATTTGATTTATTATTGTCATATGTTCCTAGGTACAGTGAGAAGTTTTATTTTGAGGTGCAATAAAGGCAGAGGATGTTGTAATAGTACACTTAGAAAATAATGGTAACATTAGGCAGAATCAATGTGAATTTAGGAAAGGGAAGTAATATTTAACAAACATTTTGGAGATTTTTGAGGATATAGCTAGCAGAATGGATAAGGGGAAGCTGCTGGTTGTGGTACGCATGGATTTTTAGAAAGCTTTTGATAAGGACCCACACAAGATGTTACTAAATAAGAGCGCATGGGTTTTGAGAGACTATACTGGCATGGAAAGAACTGGTTAACAAACTGGAAAGATACATGAGTCATTTTCAGGTTGGCAGACAGTGAATGTGCAAGAAACAACGGTTGGGCCCCAGCTATTCACAATCTCGATCAATGTTTTGGATGTGGGGATTAAATGTAATATTTCCACATTTGCAAATTACACAAAATTAAATAGAAATGGGAATTGTGAGATGGCTTTACAGACACTTCAAGACAATTTAGAGAGGCTACGTGATTGGACAAAAATTTAGGAGAGGGAATGCAATGTGCAGAAATGTGAAATTAACATGCATAAAAGCAAGCAATTAAGACAAAATGAATTTTGGCCAGTTACAAGAAGATTTATGTATAGGATGCCTTACTGCAAATATGTAGAGACTTGGTGCGGTTAAGCCTGGAGTGTGTTCTTTTGGTTTTCTCACCTGAGGTACACTTGCCATTGAAGGAGTACAATGTGGGTCCATGAAACTAATTCCTGGGATGCATGGATTATCCACTAATGAAAGATTAAGTAGATTTGGCCTATATTGTCTGGAGGTTAGAGGAATGAGTGGTTATCTCCCTTAGACATTCAAAATTCTGACAGGAATTAACAAGGTTGTTGCAGGAAGGATGTTTTCCTTGCTGGATGATCTAGAACCATCAAACACAGCCTCAGAATAAGGCACAAGTCATTTTGTACAGAAATGAGGCTTTGAGGCTGATTTGTTGAGTATGTTCAAGACTGAGACAGATTTACACGTATTAAAACCATCAAGGGATAGAGAAATTGTGCAGAAAAATTGTGTTGAAATAGATGATCAGTAATGAGCAGATTGAATAACAGACCCAAGCTTGAAGGCTGACGGCTTAGGTCTGCACTGACTCCAATATGCAAAGAGTTACTCTCGACTCCTATTGACTCCAGGTTTGTCAAGGCTGTCTTGATGTCGAGGGCAGTCATGCTCACCTCACCTCTGGAGTACAGCTCCTTTGGTCCATTTTGGAAACTGTGAGATTATTCACTTTGGTAGGAAGAGTAGAGGTGTAGCCTATTTTTTAAATGGGGAAAGACTTCGTAAATCTGAAGCACAGAAACACTTAGCAGTCCTCATTCAGGATTCTCTTAAGGCTAACATGCAGATTCAGTTGGCATTTAGGAAGGCAAATGCAATGTTAGTATTCATTCCAAAGGGCTGAAAAACAACAGCAGAGATGTTGCTGAGGCTCTATAATGCTCTCATCAGACCACATTTGGAATATTATGAGCAGTTTTGGGGCCTGTATCTAAGAAAGGATGTACTGGCCTTGAGGGGTTCTGAAGGAGGTTCACAAGAATGATTCTAGGAATGGAGGGCTTGTCATATGAGGTGCAGATGAGAACTTTTGGTCTGTACTTGATGTGGTTTAGAAAGATGAGCGGTGGATCTAATTGAAATTTACAGAATACTGAGAGGCCTCAATAGAATGGATATGGAAAAAGTGTTTCCACTAGTAAGAGAGACTAGGACCTAAGGGCACAACCTCAGAGTGAAGGAACAACCCCTCAGAACTGAGAGGAGGAGGAATGTGAAACCCATTGCCGCAGAGGGCTGTGGATGCCAAGACATTAAGTGTATTTAACACAGATAGATAGATTCTTTGTTGATAAAGGAATCAAGGGTTGTGGGAAAAGGCAGAAAAATGGGGTTGAGAAACATATCAGCCATGTTCGAATGGCGGAGCAAACTCAGTGGGCTGAACAGCCTAATTCTGCTCTTGTATATTATGGCCTAAAGATAAAGGCTGTTATGAGATCGGGAACTGGCACAACTCCAACTGAGCTTTAGTGAGTAGATTATTGCTGAGCAAGAGATACTTGATAGCATTGTCAATAATACCTACATCACTAAAAATTGAAAGTAGACTGATGGGGCTGTCATTGGCCATGTTAAATTTGTCCTGCCTTTTCCATACTGGACATATCAGAGAAATTTTCCACAGTGTTGGGCAGTTGCCAGTGTTGTAGCTGTACTGAAACAGCTTGGATAGGGCAACAGCTAGTTTTGGAGCACATGTCTTCAGTGTTATTGCTGGAATGTTGTTAGGGCTCATAGCCTTTGTAGAATCCAGCACCTCCTGCCATTCTTTGATATCATGTGGAGGGAATTGAATTGGCTAAAGACTGGCCTCTGTGATGCTGGGGTGGCCACAGAATTAGCTGCATGGTTGATTTATATATCATTACATCTTTTTGCAGCTTGCAATGTGGGACCCTCTGAATTTAAAATTGCAGTCAGATTTACTTTCTTGATAACAACTTCATAATGAATAGACAATGCTTCTTCACTTCCAAATTAATTTTCCTTCCCTGCATCTGCTCTAGTGACTTTTGAAGTTGATTTCTATTTCCTGGAACTATTATCGTATGTTTATCCATGTTAGAATCTATCTTGGGTAATTCAGCTATTTAAATGATTATTCAAGATTTTTAACATAATGAACAATCTTTCTACATGTTGCTTGCCCACATTGCTGTGTGTTCACAATTTTTAAATATCTTTGTGGCTATATTTATCCATACAATCATTAGCCTACTTTATCTTTAAGACAAGTGATCAACACAGCAATAGCCATTTTTAAAGGAATCCTGTTCTACATATCTACAAGCCTATAGGGAGGAAGGGGGAAGCACTTCCCTGCATCTAGCAAATTTTCATTAGTAAATCATGACTACATTTTACTTTGTGTAAATATATGAACAAGGGAAGATGTGCTACAATTTCTGATTGACAAAAAAAGCCTGGAAATTTAATTCAGTATTGAATTTCCTGTATTAATTCTTCTTTAATTATTTATAATGCCATTGGACACAGTAAATCATTGGAAGCACCTGTTTTAATATTTGATTAGATGTAGAAAATTTACATGATCAATGGCTAATAGATCAAGAACTTAGTTGCACTTTTATTATTTATTCAACTTGTTGTCTTCATGGAATCTTTCAGAATTTTAAAAATACAACAAAGCCAAATTTATATGCTGGGATTCAGTTCAAAAGTGCAGTTGCAACACAACAGCCTCAGAGAGTTCACCAAACTATGAACATTGCAGTCAAAATATTATAAAAAGTAATATTTTGTTAAGTGGAATTAACCCACGGGACTTCCAATCATCCTTCTACCAGAATATCATGTTATTTGTTCTAAATATTTTTGAAAATCTAGTTTAGGTCTTGTGTATCCCTCAACATTTTTTTTTGTTTCTCTGATAATTTTCTGCTCAGCAAGTTGACTAATGCCAGCATGAAAGATTACATTTTATTTTGGGCACCCAGCTCAAGTATGAAGTAATCCAATGATTAGCTGGTTAGCAAACCTCCTTTCAGATCCTCTCAACTCAAATAAGCACCTCATTTAGCATATTGGCCAACTTCTGTCCTCTCTGAAGTGATGTGGAAATAAAAAAAGGAAATAGAATTAAATTTTATTGTCATATGAAATAAACCAAAATAATTAAATTAAAACTTGCGATTCACTTTAATTCATAATGAAGTCAACCTATAATTCTCACTCTTGTTTCAACAGGGCATCTTCGTTACTAGAGTACAACCTGATGGACCAGCATCCAATCTGTTACAGCCTGGAGACAAGATCCTTAAGGTGTGCTGGATAGTTTAGAAATTCCAATGGGAATAAGATAACCAATTCAGTGGTGTAGGCCAATGCCAGTAGCAACTCAGCTCAATTCAGATTCCTAGAGAAAGGCTATTTTTCCGCTATCACACTATGGCAAATCCTAGATCTCAAGTGAGAAAGAAAATTTGCTAGCCCATTACAGTACCCAGCTTTTAAAATGTATTTTCATCAATGTGGAAACTTTTCAAACAGTCTAAAGATTCGGTACCACACAGTGGTAATGGTTAGGGAATGTGAACTCAGAGGGCAAATAATTGAATGTGCTGTAAATTTAACAAAAAAAATGCTACAAGTACTGATAAAGGGTGGTTGTTCAAATAGGATAAATGTAAAACATGCTGTTCCACAAAGATCAATGCTGAAATCACGGTTATTTAAAATGTAATGATTTGAATATAGAACAAGTAACTCAATAGCAAGTTCCAGATGACACCATGCTGGGGGGAGGGGAGGAGATATAGCTAACCATGAGGACGAATACAACATAACATAAGAAGGCATTGAAAACTTGCAGAACAGACAGTTAACTGCTGAATGAACTTTAAATTGTAATGTGATGCACCTTGGTAGGAAATATAAAACCCGACTTGGATTGAAAAACAAAAGAATATAAGGATACAGATGGAATGATTAAAATTGCAGCTTAGGAATGCAATTAAAAAAGTCATCAAAACACGAAGTTAATTCTAGGCGCATAGAATTAAACAGTAGTGCCATTACCTTAAACTTGCAGAGTTAGCTAGTCAGGATGCACCAAAAGGATTGTTTATGGTTTTAGTCTCCAAACCATAAAAAGGCAAAGAATCACCGAAGAAAATGTTTAAATAATACTTGCTTTGGAAAACTTTAACAACACTATACACGATCTTTCTTTCAGATGAAATATGAAATGTGAAATCAAGGCATCATTTGCCTCTTCTAAAGGTTCAGGTGGATATTAGTTGAAGATCTTAATCTCCTGATCAATCTTTCTCCTTTTAACACTACCAGAAAAAAATTACATGGTAATCCACATCATTAACATTTATATGGTTATGTCTGCCATATAGCTGCTGCATTTAAAAACTGCAGTAAAATTTAACACATTTCACAGTGACACAGGTGCTACTACTTGATGAGTCCATTTCACAAAGTTAAGTTCAATCTGTAGAAATTGCCTGCAGACTGAGCAAAATAATGGAAAAAGTTACAAATGGCATTAACCAATAACCTGCTCAGTTTGGGATTTCCAGGTTCATTCAACTCCAACAGCCTTGGTCCTAACATATACCCAAACTGAACTGCAGGGATTAAAGGAAAGAGATTCTAAGGCAGCTTTTAACCAAAAATCCCATTAAGGTGCCCTAACTCAATGGCGATCTCAACTCTCCCTGCTCAAACTCAAGCCCAGAACGTTGCTGCAGAAAGTTTCAATAGGATCTCCCAAACTCCCAACCTCCGCCACCTAGAAGGACAAGTAAGCAGGTTCAGGGCAGCACCTGGAAACTCTGTTTCCGATTGTACCATCCCAACTTTATAACCATTCTTTTATTATCACGAGTTTAAAATCGTGGAACTCCCTAACAGCATTGTTGGAGTACTTTCAAGACATAGATTAAGCAGTTCAAGAAGGAAGCTCATCATAACCTACCTGAAGCCAACTAAAGAAATGGCAAATAAATCCCACAATTTGTCAGTGATGGCCAACGCTTCCAAGTAAAATCAAATGTAAATATTGAAAAAAGTCTGTGTTTGCGGATATGCACATTTATCATATCCCCGCTCCTTAAATCTTGCAATAGCATACAAAAAAAAGAAAATTTGACATAAACATGAAATATAATATGCACCTTTTAATGAAAATTGATTGGCACATGGTTTCCTGTCAGTGACCTAGACTTGAATGCTACCAAAAATGATGGGGCAATTGTGAGGGACTTTGTAAAATGAACTTGGAGAACATAAGAGATAACAAGGTGTAAGGCTGGATGAACACAGCAGGCCAAGCAGCATCAGAGGAGCAGGAAAGCTGACGTTTCAGCCCTAGACCCTTCTTCAGAAAAAGAGAACATAACTCAGCTTTTAAGTCTGGGCACATACCACAAACTATCCCTCACTTGGCAAATTCTCTTAAGGAGGTACAGGAATGAATGATATGGAAAATATCAAACTTGGAAAATATCAAACTATTACACTACAGCATGTGCCTTTACAGTTGTAAGGGCAAATAATTGTGGCAAAAATAGTTTAATAATGAAACCAATGCACAATATGCAACTGCTCCCATCCACTATTTGGGATAGTACCTTAAAATAAATAGAGAGGTCGAGTGTGTGGGTTCAGTTGCATGGAAAATTGTGGAAAATGTTAAAGGTGGGTGGTGTCAGTGGGGACGGGGGAGGGCTCAGCAGAGGTTATTAAAGTTTCCATAAAAAATAATAGGACAGAGAATATGGAAAGGATCAGAAATCTAGCTTCAAGCACAGCAGATGAGGGGATAGGTATGAGAAAAGGGGCAGTCAACACAGATCTGATGATTAACGTAAAAACATGCTGTATACGTAACAAATTAAATGAACTTGTAGTGCAGATTGAAATTGGCAGGTACAATATTGTGGATGTCACAGAGATGTGGCTATGAGGGGATCGGGGCTAGGAACTAAATACCCAAGGATACACATCATATTGAAAGGACAGGCAGATGGACAGAGAGGGTGGGATTACATTGTTAGCAAGAATGATATAGAGTAAGAAGACATAAAATCTGTGTGGATAGAACTGAGGAACCACAAAGGAAATAACACCCTGATGGGAGTTCTATATAGGCCTCCTAGCATTAGTCCGGATGTAAGGAAGAAAATAAATCAAGAAATAGATAAGGCACGTCAGAAAGGCATATTACAATGATCATGGGGTCTTCAATGTGCAGGTGGACTAGGAAAATCAGGTTGGTAGCAGATCTCAAGAAAAGGAATTTGTGGAATGTCTTCAAGATGGTTTGGAGGAACTTGTGGTAAAGCCCACTAGGGAACAGGTAATTCTGGATTTGGAGATGTATAATGAGGCAGACTTGATTAGGGAGCTTAAGATGAAGAAACTATAAGGGCCAGTGACCATAATATGACTATACAATGTGGTAAAGATTAGTCGGAAACCAGAGGATTAAGAAGTCTTTAAAAACGAGCAGACAATAACTTTAAAAAAAGGGGGAGAGAAGATAAAATAAGAGTAAGCTAGCCAGTAATATTAAAGAAGGCTACACGTTTTTTTAGATATCTACAAGGTAAGAGAAGGCAAAAGTGGACATTGGACCACTGGAAAATGAGGCTAGAGAAGCAGTAATGAGGGGACAAAAAAAATGGCAGAGGAACTGAGTAGGTACTTTGTATCAGTTTTCATATTGGAAGACACCAGCAGCATACCAGAACTTCAAGAAAGTTGGGGGCGGAGGTGAGTGTAGTGGCCATCACTCAGAAGAAGGTGCTGGGAAAACTGCAAGGTCTGAAGGTGGATAAATCACCCAGACTAGATAGGCTGCAGCCCCAGAGTTCTGGAGGAGTTAGCTGAGGAGATTGTAGAGGCATTGGTGGTAATCTTTCAGGAAATAATAGTGAGGGAGTGTCCCAGAGGACTGGAAAATGGCTAATGTACCACCGCTGTGTGCTGGTTAGCATGACCTCAGTCATTAATGAGATTTTAGAGTCCATTATTAAGGATGAGATTGCAGAGTACTTGGATGTGCATGGTAAAATAGGGCTGAATCAGCATGGCTTAATCAAGCAGAGGTCTTGCCTGAATCTTTGAGGCAGTAACAAGTAATTTAGACAAAGGCGAGCCAGTGGACATGAATTATTTTTGATTTCCAGAAGGCCTTTGAGAAGGTGCCACACAGGAGGCTACTAAATAAGATGAGCTTACACTGTTAGGGATAGTGTATTGGCAAGGATAGAGGATTGGCTGAATGACAGAAGGCAGAGAGGGGTCTTTTTCAGGATGGTAGCCAGTGACTAGTGGAGTTCTGCAGGGGTCCATATTGAGACCACAACTATTCACATTATCCATTAATTATCTGGAAGGAGGAACTGCGGGCATTGTTGCTAAGTTTGCAGATGACACAAAGATAGGTGGAGGGATATGTAGTGCTGAGGAAGTGGGGCAGGCTGCAGAAGGATTAGGCGAGTAGGCAAAAAAGTGGCAGATGGAATACAATGTGAGAAAGTGTGAAGTAATGTACTTTGGTAGTAAGAAGAAGTGTAGACTATTTTCTAAACAGGGAACGGCTTCAGAAATCTGAAGCATAAAGGGATTTAGGAGTCCCCTAGTTCAGGATTTTCTTAAGGTTAACATGCAGTTTAGTTGGCAGTTAGGAAGGCAAAAGCAATATTGGCAGTCATTTCAAGAGGGCTGGAATACAAGAACAGAGATGTACTGCTGAGGCTTTTTAAGGATTTAGTCAGACCCCATTTAGAATATTGTGAACAGTTTTGAGGTCCATATGTAAGGAAGGATATGCTGGCATCGGAAGAGGTCCAGGGGACATTTACAAGAATGATCCTGGTGATGAAGGGCTTGATATTATGAGAAGTGGTTGAAGACTCTGGGCCTGTACTCAATGGAGTTTAGAAGGATGAGGCTTTTCTCTCATTGAAATTTACAAAATACTGAGAGACCTGGATAGTGGATGTGGAGATGTTTCAACTAGTAGGAGAGATCAGGACCTGAGGGCAAGCCTCAGAGTAAAGGGACGACCCTTTAGTACAGAATTTCTTCAGCCAGAGGGTGATAAATCTGTGGAACCCATTGCCACAGAAGGCTGTGGAAGCCAAGTCATTGAATGTATTTAAGACAGAGCTAGATAGGTTGTTGATTGATGAAGGGACCAAGGGTTATGCAGCGTAGGCAGGAGAATGGGGTTTAGAAACTTGATTGAGTGTCAGAGCAGACGTGATGGGCTGACTGACCTAATTCTACATGTACGTCTCATGGTCTTAAAATAGGTAAGTGTTGTAATTCCCAGTTAATGTTACTTAACTTCATGATCACCAAAAACATACTATAGATTATGGATTCCCATTTCAATTATTCTTACATATATATTTTTGTTTTGTGTAGGCCAATGGACACAACTTTATACACATGGAACATGAGAAGGCAGTGTCACTTCTTAAAAGTTTCCAGAACACAGTGGATCTGATAATCCAACGTGAGATTCCAACCTAGAACTTTTTTTCACTAGAAAAATGTTTAAATTAAGATTAAAACCCTTCACTGCAGCTTCCTATAAGGAAGGCCAGGCAATTTATTTTCCAATTTTTTTGCCAATTGCTGGACCAATGGCAACACTTGTGCCAAACTTATTATAAGACATTTATCGACCATTATAATAATGTTTAGTATTTTATCTTCACAAATTTATCATTTATGAGATTGATGTTTATGTAGTGACTTTACATCCTGTCAGCTAGAGGCTGTGAGATGGCAGGTCATTTGGTGCAAACATTTAATTATTACATATAATTAAATATAATTATATAAAATTATAATATATACTATATATAGTATATATCATTCATTCTCCAAGTTGATTAATCATTAGATCTGAGCACCAAAAGCACACATGCTCTTTCGATATTGCACCACCATAAAACACTGCCTCAATCTTGTATATGCCTTTTTTTGTAAAAAGCAAAAATACATCAACAAATGCAGCAAATTATGTACTGAGAAATTTAAAGCTATTTTCTTATTTATTAATATCGGAAAGAGAATTTGGACATGAGAGGGGGTTTCAACAAATAATGTTATCTGTTTCATGAAAGCCAATCAAAAATACTGGAATTCCAAGATGCTTGTATACCTGGTTAAACAATGGCAAAAAGTGTCTTCCTGGCTATTCAATTGCCTTCTTTTATAAGAAATACTTGAAGAAGTCAGGACAGGAGCAAGTTGAATTTCACTCACCGTAACCCCAGATTTTTTTTTCAAAATTAACATAACATAAAATTAAAAACTAAAAACATTGATGGGGAGACAATGGGTTAGTGCTCTGAATAAAACTTTGAACTTTATCCCTTTTAAACTTCCTTTCCCTTTAATATTTATGACCAAGAATTGAATTTAAGTTGTCTACTACATAGAACAAACTTGGTACCATAATTTCATACGTCCCACATGTACAGGAGGTATATACATCAGAATGATTGGAACAATACAACTTTCTTCTCCCTTCCCCCAATCCACATTAGCAATGTAAATATACTTTGTGAATTTTCAGAAGAACTCCCATTTATTATGATCTGTATACATCCAGGAGAAACAATGCAATGCAAAATCTCAAGCTTGCCTCATTTCGTGAAGTTCACGAGTTTACTGGAACCATTCCTGGCTTTTTAAGCAGGAGCAGGCAATTGCAGAGACAATGTAGATAAAATTGGCACTAATATTAGTTACGTGTAAGTTTCATGTTGTGCCTCAAGTATATTATCTTAAGTATTACATTATTTTATTTATACTTAAAATACCTTTGCTAACGTTCTGTTTCAATGAATATTCCTTTAATTTATAATGGTGGAGAATCTATCACTATGTGAGGGTTGGAGTGTCATTTTCCATAATGAACTTAAGTTTTAATTTTTAAAATATTTTGAAAAATTGTTTCCTTATTTCTGCTGTATTGCTTAATGTTATAGTTTTGAGTCCAGCAGATGTCTTAATTGAGACTCTGCTCAAAGGGATTAAACTATGGTGATCAGTGCATGTCACAGACCTTCACAGCTCAATACATAATTGAAACTCAAGATTTTTTGACAGGTGCCAAGTTATATTGTAGTATCTGAGATTAAATAATAAACGTGCAATTTTGTGAATAAATAAATTTTGAAACATCAGGATAGGATGAGATTAATGTCAGGATACTGGGGAGTTTTTTTGTGGTGGGTCTATCAATAATTCCTAATGTAATCATTGTGCATTCAACTTAATGAATTATAAACAATGTGTACAGTCGATATGCAAAACAGACATTCAAAATTAACACTTCCAAAAGTTCCCAATGCCTCATGACAAGTAGTGATATATTAAACCTTTCCTATCCTAAAAGGTTTAAATGGCACCATTCCTCAGTGGATTTTGCCTCCTGAGTCTTGGTACCACTCCAGCAACTATTGACTGACACTCCAATGCAATAACGAAGGGCTGTGCTTCAATATCTGGGGTACAGTTTTTCAAATGTGATGTTAAACTGAGACACTGACTGCCTTTTGGATATACATAAAAGATACTATGGTGCTGCTTATGGAGCTAACCCAGTATCACAGTCACTATTTATCCAGCAAGCAACATCACTTAAAACATAATATCCAGTCATTATCAGATTGCTGTATGCCAAAGCTTGCTGTGCACAACTTAGTTGACATTGTTTCTTGCATTGCAACACTGACTACACTTCAAATATACATTTGATTGGTTAGAATGTGTTTTTGGACCTAAGGACATGAAGACATTACATAAACTGTGATCATTTTTACTTTGTCCTTATTTTGGCAACCAGGTAATTTATTAATGTGCCAAAAGACTTGCAAATAAAAACAGGGAGGGTTTGGTGGTGGTGCAAGTTGTGTTGGGTTAATATTTGCTTAAGAGTGAAATCAATCCCTATCGTTAAGAATGAAATGTAATAATGATTTGTTTCCCACATGACCAAATCTGCTGTGTAATTTTACCTTCAATGTGCGAGTCAACTGCAGTTTCAGATTTGTACTATTACTGCAGTGGCAATTAATTCATATTGGAACATCTTTATTATTCTGTGCCCACGCACACAACTCCTGATAAAGTAAATTTCTATAGATTTTTGTTTTGCTTTTGCCATTTTTCTCCTTTTGTCTGAAGATACAATGAGCTTAAGTCTACTACCTCAATTTTAACTCTATTGTAACTACACATCAAAATGCACTTAAAAGGTTAAAATTACACTAAAATGTAATTAAAAACCATAATATAATACTCAAAAACTTAATTGGCTCAAACTACCATTTTTTTCTGCTTTAAAATGTGTTCAAACGGAGGTATGATTTGAAGCTTCTAACTCTGACAAAACAATGGTGGATTTTGTTATCACATTTTTTTGTTACTGTTTTAATACTGCTGTTATTAATGATCAACTTTTAAATGAAAATCAGTTTCAACCAATATCTTTCTTGGAGATTGTTAGGAAATACTGCTATTTTGAGCAATACTAACCACATTATAATGGGGTATGATCTGTGCCTGTGACCCACTATGAACTCAACTTCAGCCCTGTCTTGTTGAAAGATTAAGGCACAGCCTTTCACCACTGGCAGAGTATAGGAAAATAATGGAACAATTCATATTTGTAGATTTCTTTTTACTGTTTGGAAATTGTGGTAAGGCTGCTTGCAAATAACAGTTTCTTGCGGAAATATCAAAAGGAAAGGAAGCAGTACCGAGTTCTAACTAAGTCAACATCCAATAGATGGGCTGATCAAAAATGGAATTCCTAAAATGAATGAGGCTGCATATGCATTGAGAATCATGAATGCAGGAAAGATGGATAGTCAGAATGCAAGTGACCCAGGGACATGAGTATACAATTTGTTTAGGTATCATAGAATAGAACCCTTTATGTAAATGCAGCTTTGTTGATGTACAAGAAAACTCACATTTTTTGTATGTGCAAAATTCATAATGGAGAAAAAATACAGTAAAATTTAGTCTAACTGCAGTATTTTGTAAATAACTGTCAATGACATTTAAAATAACTTTTAATCATTTAGATTGTGAATGTAAACATCTGCTTCTGCAGTCAAAAATACTTTACTGGACTTGAAAGCTGCTTTATGTGCAAAAAAGAAAATATAAGATTTTACACTTTTTAGTTTCACAGACTATAGTGAAGTTGGAAAAACTTGTTTGTTCAAATGCACATGCAAGTCTAATCCTTCCAATTTTATTTACGTATTATGTATTGACACTATTTTATTGGTACAGTGTCTGATGTGTTCAGAATGCATTTTGCAGATTCTGTATGTATATATTTGGAGAAATTTTACCAGAGATTAAAAAAAACCAAGCTACTCATTTCCAATGTGGGTGCAACTATAACAGAGCTATTTTTTGGCTTTGAAATTCTGGGAATCTTTTCTGTATTAAAAAAGTGTTTGAATAATGTATGAAGTCTCTTTAATGAACAAACATTAACTTAAATGGTTATACAGTTGTAAATATCTCTTGCTAAATGAATTTATCATGCCAAGGCTGTGTTGCATAAGTCTCATTAATGAATTTCATAGTTTTTTTTAAACTCCCAGTTTTTAGGTTGAATTAATTCTTAATGTATTAATGCTCGTCAAATATAAAACTGTGTTAATTATTTGCATTTCTGGAACAGGTATTAGTGATTTTTGTCCATTGTCAATCACTTCGGAATTGATAACTTTCCATAAGAACAAAATTCTATTTCAGGTGATCGACCAATGAAAATAATTGTCACTTCTTTCAATCAAAGATATTTTCAGAACAAAAGTGGTCTTCTTCAATAGTTGCTGCACGTGTAGCATACTACAACGAATGTACATTTGATCCCAAGTTTATATCCATCCGAGATCACCTAAACTCAGCCAGGAGATTGTTGGCATTACAATAGCCATCAGCAGCAACACTACCCTCCCCGTAAACACACATGCGCACACTTTTGTTTTTAAAAAAACTTTTTCAACATGCTCAGCAAGCTGGTGCAGAAATGAAGGGTTGAATGGACCCACTTCTGCATAACAACAACAATATTGTGCTCAAATTGTTCTCTTTTTCTGGTCTGACTCAATACTACATTTTGTTAAGTATTCACCAAAAGTATAACTCAATGTTATTTTAATGCCAATTTTATCAGGCCAATACAGTGGTATACATTTATGCAACAATACATGTCAGCATGCACAATTTTAACACAACATCATTGCTCAAAGATCAAGAATTTACAAAAAGGTATAGAAAACAAAACTCTTGTTTTGGACAAAAATTATTTTATAAATCAAATAGTTGTGTTATTTGAAAGCATTAAATTACAATTTCAAATGCAACCTATAGAGAACAGCTTTTAAGAAAATTGTCACGAGTCACCTCCACATTTAAAGATAGTGATGCTTTTGAGGAATGGCAGAGATCAGTACAGTAATTTGGAAGGCATTAAACCTTTCCAAATTTTCCACCTGTAAAGGCATTAAAGAAAATGGAATTTATCTGTAAGCTGACTGACCAAGTACCAGTCAGAGTTTTGTTAAAATAAAACACTGCCAATAGTATTTGAGCAACATTGGCAGTTTACACAAGTTATCTAGTTACAGCACCACAATACAGTGTTTAGGGAAAAAAAAAGTTTAGTCCCTAGAACAGCAGGCATGTTGGCTTGCCAAAATTTCAAAATTTAATAACAAATTGTTACTGTCATATCTCGCTGTGCCAAGCAACACCATTCTTTTTAACAGCAGTTTCAAATGATTCTGATCAACTCTTCAACAGAATCCCATCTTGGCAACTGATCGAATAACATTGCAACTACACCTAGAGTGCAGTTGTTGAATTTCACAAACATTTGAAGTATAAATTTACCTAATTTAGAATTCTGTTCCAACATAGACATAGCACAGAATTTATAAAGCACCAGAGTCAGGTAGGAATGTCAAAGTTCACAGTAACAGGTATTTGCAGAATAGAAAAAAAATGTGAAGGAGACTTGATGCTTTGAAGGAAATAATTTCTCTGTAAGACAAGAATGCTTGAAAATCCGTGAACGCAGTTAGATGAACTGTCAAGATGGATTCAAAACTAATATCTACATAAATCTTCCTGGTATTTTAAACTGTTTAAATCATATTCTCATGAGAGTTTCAAAGGGTCTTGGCAATCATAACCTATGTAAGACATACAATTTATATCTTTGATTTACTAAACCAGGATTGGGGACTGAACCTTCAAAGCTAAAGTTAAGTAGCTTTCATAGGCCAGCATTCAGTTTCATATTGAAAACAACAGCTTTCCGTTTAAGAACCAAAAGGACTGCGGATGCTGTAAATCAGGAGCAAAATCAGAAATTGCTGGAAAAGGTCATCAGGTCTGGCAACATCTATGAAGAAAAATCAGAGTTAACGTTTTGGGTCCGGTGACCCATCCTCAGAACAGTTCCGACGAAGGGTCACTGGACCTGAAACGTTAACTCTGACTTTTCTTCAGAAATGCTGCCAGACCTGCCGAGATTTTCCAGCAACTTCTGCTTTTGCTATCCCTTTACGGTTTACAGTGGAATATTTTAAATCAAAAGATTATTTTTCTTTACTCAGATTTTCCTACAAGTTAACCTCTTTGTAAACCTCCATTACAACATCAGAAATGTAAATTTACTCCTCTTCATCTTTTCACCCCAGAAAAATTAGGGCAGAATCTTGCTAGTTACATGGAGGTGGTTTTAACAGCTAGCAGACAGTGGGACAATGTGAAAATGCATTTGATTTCCTGCCTATGGTCAACCTTACCAGATGCAAATAATCAATGGAAATAGCTGACCTGCCAGCAGCCCCCCTCAGACTCCATTTTGATTTAGCCCCCTTCCCTCCACTCCCAGGCCCCTTCAGCTTTCATGATTTGCATTGCCCTTAACGGGCTTTGCACATAAATTATTCAATGGAAACATGGTCATTTACTGAAGGTGGTTAATAGATTGAAAAAAAAAGACCTGGGGTGATTTGATGATGGGAAATAAAAGCTAGCAGCAGCCAAAGAGCTGGCTGCTTGGGGAATACTGCCAAATTTTTATTGAGGATGGATGGGCCCCATGCTACATGCAAAGTTCAGCAGATCCCTGGAGGGGATTCCAGTGGTAAGCCAGAAAAGACTTGTTTGTCTCTCTCTCCACCAGAGCTTTCTTTCTGCCACAGGGCTACTGGTGCAGCTTCAGATCATCCTAGTACCCTTTATAATGATACACTGAAGGTTATGACCATGAATAATTTAACATTTCAAACATATGCAGAAACACCTTCAACCACCTTACCTGGATGTCCACATTTGGATGGCCAGGCAATATCATCGCTAATAGGACATATTTTTGGTTCTGACTTCAAACAAAAATCCCTAAAAGCAGTATGATTTTACCCATTGCAGCCTATAAAGGAGTCAGACATTCCTTTAGTCTTTATGCGCAAGTACACTAAGCCAGTCAGTCAGGACAGCTAGTTTCAGTTTTACCTTTACCTTATAATTACACACATTTATTAAGTACTATCCAAATTGGTGTCACTAGAAATCAGGAGAAGAAAGCTGATTTTCCTAAACTAGGGCAGTGCAACCAAGTATTACACCTCCACTTCCATCCTTGCACAGATCACAATTCAGCACAGACAAGGCATTGAACATTGTGCACTCCAAGTCTATGTGCCTCAGAGATGATAACGTTGCCTTTAGCTATTGGGAAACTGGTAAGCATAAGCAGATTCTATTTAAAGTAAAATTCATAACCAATCAAACCATATCTGAACTTTTTTCTTTTAAAAGGTTGAAACCGGATTCTAAAGGGATCACAAAGTCTGGAAGATCACTGCATGTAGAATTTGAGTATATGGCACGAGTGGTCTTAAATAAATCACCTGTCCTAATGCATCTATAAGAAAACAACTAGCTGAGAAATTTTCTTTAAAAAAAAATGTTTGCATGTCAAGGAAGAACTTCTCAACACAAATTTAATAATATCTTATGTATTGAAGCAATGATGAATAATAATAAAAAACATCAGGATCACCCAAATAATCAGCAGAACACAGCATATTTCAAAACTGCCAAATGCCAGCCAGAAACTTACATAACAAAGTGCATTAAGATACTCCAGGAGCTCAATATTCAAAAGAAATCAGAAGCACTTCTATCCTGATAGCTTCAGAAAAAAGTTCAATTAATTGCTCATTGGAGGCATAAACCATTACTAATGTGCTAAATTGAAAGGATTCAATCACGTGCTGCAGCAAAGTGCACGTACAATTTGACATGCAATGCAAAAGTGTGAAGATCCTCAATGCAAACATACTCAATGAAAATTGATACCTAGGCAATAGTTTCTTATGTAAATAAATCATGTACATCATACTTAACTGCACTGAAATGAGGCTACTGAAGTCAACTTTAAAATCTATAAAAGCAAACGTAATCTTGAAACAACTATTTTACTATTATGGAACAAGCCACAATTTCCTTTTAAAGCCTCCTAAATACTTTATCCTGATTAAGTCTTCAATCAGTTGCAATATCTTTAGTAAAGCAATCTTTCCTCTTCCAGGCACAGATTTATGTAGGAATGCGGTTTCTAAGATATTCCAGGACTGCAGCTGTTCCTCTAGCCAAGATAGCTGCCCGTGGATTACGAAACGGATTTCCTTCGAGTAGGAGTGTTCTGCATGAAATAAAGTGGCACTTTGGATACTGGAAAATATACAGCTTAAAGTCAGTTGTGTTGTTATACAACATATCATGGAAATCTCGGGACAAATGAAGATACAAAATTCTACCACAAAGAGATCTTTTTGGAAAAATACTAACTATAAAAGGCAATTACTGGAAGGTGAGAAGAATTCAGTTTTAAATATTCACTCAGCTGCTAGGGGACAAACAACAAAAGCTTAGCAATCTTATGGTCACTCTTCATTTTACATCCCTGTGCAGATGTGTTTACATCTCTACTACAAGGCTCATGACAAAGAACGGTAAAGAATTCAATCCCTTCTAATATCCCACTAACCATCCTGAGTAGTGTACTTTGGATGCTTCCATTAGGCGAAAATGACTTTGACATATACATAAAGTATGACATTGCAAATTGGCTGTTATGTTTTTGAAAATTGTTCCTTTGTTACATTTTTCCCAAATCTATATGTAGATCCTAGCAAAATAAGATGTCTCCATTATTTGATTTTGTTCTCTTTTAGGTAAAAGCTAATTATTCATCACCTACTCTTCATTGCTAAATCTTTCTGTTGGTTTAAATTCTTGAAATAGAGTGAATGATTTTTAGTATTTCATATCTAAATACCATCAGTAACTATATAACCAGAATTTTTTTATGTTTTTAAAACTGCATAACAAATTTCACTTCACAACATGAATCCATGGAATTAATTGTAATTAATTTATGCACTTGATTCACTAATACTCCAATCATTAAATCAATATCCAGCAGATCCATCACCAGTCTACATTGGCTGCAGGATGTACTATTTACAGTTGCAAGTCAGCAACTGACCACAATTACTTCAAACAGAAACTCTTTTCTGTGATCTCTACCACTGAGAAAGACATCAGCAACAATGTTGTGGGAACATCATAACCTCCAAGGGACACAACATCTTGATTTCTACAAAACTTGATGATGGTGGGGTGCCAATATAAGATCCTAGAACTCCCTGCCTAACGTAACAGTTTAAGAGAAAGCACCCCTTCCAGAACAATGAAAGAGCAGAAATTTCTGCCTTGCTAGCATCCAAGAATAAATAAACATTAAAATAAAGTGCAAACAATTTCAATCACAAAAGCTACTGAAATACTTGTGTGAGCAAATAAAGTTGCGCGAGATCATGTGGTGAATTATAATGGAGGTACATTTACTGGTAGCATGCAGTTACCTGATGAACCAATTAAAACCACCTAAAAGTGGTTAAATCAACATTAGGAACTTGAATTGCAATTGTATCTTTTTAGCCATTTTAAGGCTGATCTTCTTAACAGGTCTGCAGAGAGATATTGTCAGGTTAAGAAGTGAGCAAAAACTTGGCCGATGGAATATAATGTGGGAAAATGTGAGGTTGTGCACTTTGACAGGAAGAGAAGATGAGCCAAATAGTAGTTAAATAGAGTAAGACTCCAGAAAGTTATGGAACAGAGAGAATTGGGAATCCTTATCCATGAATCACAAAGAAGCAAGCATCCAAGTTCATTGGGTAATAAAAAAGGTAAATGGAATATTGGCCTTTTTTCCCCCAAGGAAATAGGGTATAAAAGTAGGGAGATTTTGCTAAAACTATATAAAGCACTAGAACGACCTCAGTTAGAATACTGTGAAATAGTTTAGGGTCCCTTATTCAAAAGAAAGATATACTGGCATTGCAGTCAGTCCAGAGAAGGTTCACTAGGTTGATACAAGGGATGAATGAACTGTCCTAAGAGGAGACGTTGAGTAGGTTGGGCCTGTATTCATTCGAAATTTGAAGAATGAGAGACAACCATGTTGAAATATACAAGGTTCTTAGGGACTTAACAGGATAGATGTGAAAAGGTTGACTGTGGACAGTCTAGAATCAGATGGCATAATCTCAGAAAAAGGGACTGCACATTTAAGACAGAGATGAGGAGGAATTTCTTCTTCAGAAGGTAATTCATGACTGCAGAAGGCTTTCAAGGCTGGGTCATTAAGTATATTCAAGGTTGAAATAGATTTATAATTAGTAAGGGAATTGAGTGTTATGGGGACAAGGTATGAAACTAGTTTAGGATAATCAGATCAGCCATGATCTCACTGAATAGCAGAGCAGACTCAATGGACTGAAATGCCTATATCTTTCTGCTCCTATGTCTTATGATCTAACCATGTCTTTGTATCTGAAACGGATCTTTAATAAGGTACATCACAGTTTTAAAAGAGCAAAGAATTCAGTGCACTGTGCCAAAGTTGGCAGCACTCGGCTCATTGTCGGAAGATTGGGAGTTCAGGTCCAGTTCCAGAAATATAAGCACAAAAATCTAGGTTAATGCTTCGCTGCAGTATGAAAGGACTGTCCCCTATCAGAGGTGCTACCTTTCAGATGAGACCTTAAACCAAGGCCCTGACAGATGGATGTAAAATATCCCATGGCACTTAGTTTGAAAAGCAAGGGAGTCATCCTCACTGTCCTGTCTGATATCTGACTCTGTATCCACACAAACTAATAATCATTTGTCATTTTTGGGAATTTATTGTGATGCGAAATCAGCTGCAATGCTTCCTACTTTGTAACAGTGACCATGTTTCAAAAAGTACTGCACGGGCTGTAAAGCACTTTGATAAATCCCGTGATTGTGAGAAGTAGAATATTATTTAAAAGTGGAGAAAGTTGTATGTGGTGGCACAGAAGGCTATGGATGCCCTGTACACAATATTAGAATGCAGGTACAGCAAGTAATTAGGAATACAAACGGAATGTTGACCTTTACTGCAACGAGGATGAAGGGAATTGCAAAGGGCATTGGTGACACTGCACCGTAGGTATTGTGTACGGTTTTGATCACCTTAACTGGGGAGTGATGTATTAGCAGCCGTTGGGGGAAAGTTCACCAGCCCAAGACCTGTTAAGTAAATTTTCCAGGTTGACTTACAAGGAAAGACTGAGCAGATTCCCACTATACTCAATGGAATTTAGAAAAATGATAGGTCACCTTATTGAGCCACAAAAGTTTGAGGCTTAACAAGCAAATGCTGAAAGGATCTTTTGCTTTAGGAGGACATTTATCCAAGGAGACATTGTTTTAAATGGCAGACCCCTTGTTTTTAAACTGAGACCAAGAGGAACTTATGTCTTAAAATATGGCTAGTCTTTGTAATTCTCTTCTCCAGATAGCAGTAGAGGCTTGATCTTTGAATACTTTCAAGTCTACATCAGAAAGATTTTTGATGTACAAGGGAATCATGGTCATAATCAGATAAGTCATGATTTTATTGAATGTCAGGGAAGTCTGAAGGGATGGATAGCCTACTCCTGTTCCTATCTCTTATGATGTTAGTCCCTTTTCGTCCTTATTTTATAGTATAAAATAATACCAGTGCTAAAAGAGATTAGCTGAATCAACATGACGTAACTAAATCTATAACAAAAGATTTTCTCATTACAAAGACCTTTTACAAACTTTATGTAATTGAATGGTGGAACAAGCTTGAGGGACCAAGAAGCCTACTTCTGCTCCTAACTCATAAGTTTGTATATGCATACATAATTCATATTTACCTTAAGTTTACGCAGCTCCCCAGCTCTGGTGGGACCTGCATTAAATCATTATTCTGCATATCCAGTGTGGTCAGTTTGTCGAGTTGCATCAGTTGGAAAGCATCAATCGAGCCCACCTGATTATTACTAATAAGAATAGTTTCTATTGCTGGGATATGGTATAAGGCATTAGGGAATTCCTTAAACCTGAGGACAGAATATAAAACTTATGCTGAACAAGAAATCAAGAATATGTAATCTTACTGAGATTTGTTGTTTTACTGTTGTGTTTAAAACATCAAAATTCCATAAATCCACAAATGTTTTAATAAACTTGATATGCAAACTCAGCTTAAACAAATTACGCTTAAATTTAATTTACTGAAGTTTTTAAATAACTGATCAAATCTTACTCAATTAACATGCACCATTTCTGAAACAAAAACAGATAATCACTGGAAAAGTTCAGCAGGTCTGGCAGCATCTGCGGAGAAAACTTAGAGTTAATGTTTTGGGTTGAGTGACTCTTCCTCGGAACAGTCACTCGACCCGAAATGTTAACTCTTGATTTCTCTCTGCAGGTGATGCCAGACCTGCTGTGCTTTTCCAGCAATTTCTGTTTTTGTTTCTGATTTACAACATTTGCAGTTCTTTTGGTTTTTATCTGTTTCTGAAACCACACCTCCTACAAACAATTGGCGATCTTACCATACATTTTATGTAACATTGCAAAAATGCTTTAAAAAGTTAAATAATTATAATAAGCAGATTTAGCTAAGCAAAAAAAGCTGCAAGAAAGCTTTCCAATGCACTGGATACAGAGTGCACACCAATAGGAAGAGTGGGTCTGGGTGGACTCAAGCATGATTCAAGAGACAGTATTTTAGAAGGAAGAGAGTGCTAGCTAGATGAAGATTCAGAGGGAAGGAATTTTAGAGAATGGGGGAAAAAACAAAAAGTGGCAGCCACAAATAGGAGAATAGCAGAAGTAGAAAATAAGTAGTGATAGACTAATGGAGACTGTATGTATGGATGTAGGGCTGAAGGAAATCATACAGAGAGGGGAGGATGAGGATGTGGAGTGATGAAGGAATGTCTGTAAATCCCAAAATCAAATCTTTGGAAAACAGGAAACAAAGGGAGTTTGACCTGACCAGTAGTGACTGGATATGTCTTTGAATGGTTGAAGACATGGGCTATGCATTCTGGGTGAACTGTAGTTTATAAAAGTTCCAGCAAAAGAAGCATGCCAAAACCAGTTGCAGAAAAGTAGATAGACAGATTAGGATTTAGGATCTGGAAAAGAATGGGTAAGGGCAGAAGTGAGCTACTTGCAGAGCTAGGATCAGGAGAAGTTCGTGATGGTGCAGTAATTGGAGAGGAATGATCAAGTGATTACCTCATAAGAGAAAGAAATTGAGTAAAGCTGAAGGAGGGGAGAGAAAAAGGAAGACAGAGTATGAAGATGGGCCAATGATTAAGGGGAAAGACACTAAGGCTCAGAAGAGTCACAGAACAAATCTCATTAATCTAGGCAGTTCATACAGGTATCCAACAGCTGCTCATTTGCAACTGCTCCAGGTGTCAATGGATTAAAAGTTACTCAGTTTAGAATACACAGTAAAAGAGGTGCTTGTTGTGCAGAGGTAGTATCCCTACCTCTGAACCAGGAGGCCTGACAGACTAACCAAAATCCTTTAACCTGGTTAAACTTGCAACAAACAGAATGTAATAGTCATCTCATGAGTCTTAACTGGACTCAAGTCCACCCTGCCCTCATCCACATTTCTTGAAGCAACGAGAACAGGAGAAACAAAGTAAACACAGTTGTAACTCTCCGTAATTGGTGCAGATTGATGCAAAATTTATGTTTTGTCTGTTTGAGAGAGAAAGGCTTCAAAAAATTCCTCCACTAAAAACAGGTGGCTTTCTCTTCTTCTGAATTACTTTGCAAAAAAAAACATTAATTTTCTTCATTTCTACAAATGGCAGAGTTTTAGCATTTCAGATAGAGTGCCACTAGTAATTAAAACAATTCAAGCCTTTAAAATCAGTAATTTACTGCTTGATTTCTAGTATAAACTAATTGCTAATAAATGCAAATGTTTTGTCTTTGAAAGCCAGTTCAAATCAGAATTAGTTTAAGTAATATTTTGCTATGTCACAGGATTGTAAACCCAAATAAACAAAATCTCAAGTGATCATACAGCATATGTCATTTCACTGCAACAATCCACAAGCATCTCCTGCATCTTTTTACTCATCACTTCCAGGTACCTGTTTCACAAGTGAATGAATAGACAAAAACTATTGTAGCACAGAATAATCATAATTATTATTATCTATGCTGATATTGTTTGGTGGGGGGAGAAGAGGAAGAGAGGAGAAAGACAAAGCAAACTGGATGGGATGAGAAGGAAACATTTCCCCACGTGGTACAGCCTTGGATGTGTGGCGTTAGCTAGTACATTATGCTCTTACGATTTGCCAGAAAAATTGTCAGAATATTATTTCCCACAGCATGATTATGTACATTAATCCATGCCTAACTTCTTTCACCCCAGTATTGGCAGCCGTTCCTTTAATTGTTACTTACCATGCTATGAGCTTGCATCCCTATGACAGCTGCCCCTTCTTCCTTTAGGTTTCTCTTATACCCATATTTTTGACCAAGCATTCGTTCACCTATCTTAATGTCAAGTTCTTTGGATCCAGTGTAACTTTTTGTCTGGTTACACAGCTGTGAAGCACCTCAAGGTGTTTTGCTGAGTTTAAGGCACAATATTACTCCAATATTGTTACCATTTGTACAAAGACCAAATACTGTTATCTGGACTTTGTACATAAATGTTCAATACTGCACTGAATAAGATGAAATGTTTATACTGCTTTTCTCAGCAAGGCAGATCGAAACCATGCTAGATACTGCTTGCAAACAGAAACAAATTCAAACCCAATCCTGAGAAATGAAAAGGTAGTATTTATCCAAAGAAGGAAATTTGAATTTTCTTAAAATATTGTGAAGCTAGACACATTTCATTTTGCACAGAAAATACTAACCTGTTAAAAGAAAGGATTACAGTTTGCAATTGCTGTAGTTGTTTTATTTCCATTGGCAGGGAAGCCAAAAGGTTATTTCTTAAAAGAGTAAAAGAAAAATAATTAAGTGACATTATTAGTGACATTTACTGCTTTTTTGCCTTTTTTAAGAAGTAAAAGCTTGATTTTCACACTTTATGAACCAATTCTTCAGATTCTAACTCAAGGAAGCCTTCAATATCTTGCCAATCTTTTTTTTTTGAAAACAAGACACAAAACTCCCCTTTCAGGACACATTAAAACATGATATCAAACATGTTTAGCTAAACAAAAAAATCCTTAATAATAGATTGCTGTCCCTATCAAACTAATTTATATGAAATACTGATACATTGCACCTTGGATTATTAAAATTACATTCCAATATCCAATTTACTTATCTGCATTCTTGGTTTAGCCTACAACCTCTAAACTTTTGGGTAGACAAAATTTCCCGTAAAGACGGAAATCTCACTGTTCCACTAATGTGCCTCATCTGCATACTGTTATAGAATTCTGTGGTCTAATCACTTGTTAACCTGTTTTTCTAACCATCCTGTTCAGAGATGTTATTACACACCTCTGGAGTAGGTGGAACTTGAACTTGGATCTCTAGGTCCAGGGACAGGAACACTACCACTGTGCCACAAGAAAGCCACTCCCCCACTCACTTGTTACAACTAATTCGAGTAGTGAGTGCAGCTCTCCTGCTTGCTTAGTTCCACCTGTGCTCTTCTCAGCCGTGGCCTTCTGCCATTGTTGTCAGTCGACAAAACTGGGAGATGCACAATGTTCCATAGGGATAGCTTTCACTGCATTTTCCACTCATTAAAATGTGTCTGACACCCAAATATATAAAAATGCCTCTTAATTGTTGTCTGGCTGGAACTGACAACCTGACAGAGGAGCACAAACACTAATATGGGTTTTAAAAAATGACATTCTTTATGCTCGATTTCTGAAAACATGCCAGAAGCAAAATAAAAACAAATTTATTTTGAGAACACTATGAACCAAAAAGAAAAATCATGCAATTTCCTTGGAAGAATAATGAAAACTGTATTGTTTCTTATTCCTAATATCAAAGCAGAAAAACCTGATATTTGAGCAATTAACTCTTCGATGAAGGATCAAAATTTATGCTTCGCCTTTTTATTTCCATCTCCACCAAAGCTCCTTTGTTCTGCATTGCACTACCAGCTGAAAATCCACTTTTGCTCATTTACTTCTGACCTAAGAGTATTTCCCAACATACAGTTCTACTGGGGAAGCAGTAGATTCCATTTACCAAATGACTGATATGAAGAATGTACAGACAGACTAAATTCCAGAGTGTGAAATATACACTTAGAATTATACTTCTTAGTAGTGAATTCTCTCATATATAAATACTGGTAGTCCAGATCTAGGACACAAGAACTGATTAAAAGAGACTCCATTTTATAGGGTGCTGATTGGTTGGCCCATAATTGGCATGGAGGTACAGCAAGAACAGTTAACTGTCAATCTTAATTCTTAGATTCTATAAGTAGATTCTGTTGATCAGGGTATTGCCATGGAGGTGCAGCAGAGTTTGGCTGTTTCCATGACCCTTTAAAAGATGCAACATATTAATATATTCCTTTTGATTACATGAAACAGGGTCCTGAATATTTATGTATGGAACTTCTAACACGTACAAATGAATCAAACTGTGAGCCTGACTGATGATCTTAAATTGGTATCTGGTTAACCATTAGCACAACCTGATTTATTTTATGAATGATTTCTAAAAGCAGAATCATCTAAATGGAGGATATACTTCTGAGGCTTTTAAGCATGGGCGGTTTGAGCTGCAAATGGTCAACAGGACATACTTGATTTGGTTTGTTAGTTGTTGGGATGTTTAACTGATATAGCTGGCATCACACCAGCACTGGACCTCATGGATCACATTATTCATTTGTGTGATAGACAAAAAGTCTTTTAGGCTTGATGGCAGCATCCTGTCAGTGGAGAAAACCACTCATGGATTTACTGCAAAGAAATAGTGTGAGATAGTTAGCTGCACCTATTATTCAAATTTGAGACAACTCCCCATTCCAGGGTAATCCAAAGTAGGTCAGGTATCATTCAGGGCCAAAAGTGGCAGGAGTAGGCACTTTCATGGGTTTTTGGGATGTACGAGTAACGATTTGATCAAGGTCTTTGCTTATGAAGGATTGTTTTAATATGCTCCAGCACAGCATCAAGTTGGCATGTTAAGCAGATAGCTAGGACCCTATTTACATGTTTATGAGAATGAGGCTGATCTTGTAGCATGTGGACTGTAAGAATTCCACCATGTAGACTGACTGAGAAAAGTGTGTCTTCCATTAGATTAGAAATCATCTACGAAATAATCTGCACTATGCTAAGTGTTACACTGGAATCAATTCAAGATCACCATCGGAGACTACAGTGTGATGCATTTGTGTGCTAGAAGATCCATACATAAATACTCAAAACTATGTTTTTTTTATGCAGGCAAAAGAAATTTGTACATACATTGCACAGTTTTCAAAACCAGAAAGGGTCATGGAGACTGCCAGACTTCACCACATCTTCATGGCAGCACCCTGACTAACTTCTTTACTCAGAGTTGTTAGGATTTGAAATGCGCTGGCTGGGAGAGTGATGGAGGCAGATTCCATAAGAGGTTTCAAAAGATTGCTGGACATATATTCGAAAGTGATGAATTTAGAGGGCTAGGGCTTTAGGGCTGGAGAATTGGACTGGCTGGGTGGCTCCTTCAGGAGCCAGTACAGACCAGGTGGGCCAAATCTCCTCCTTCTGTACTGGAAATTAAGATTTAAGAATTAAGACTTCTAATTAGGATTGATGGTTAACTGACAATGCATCTCCATACTAACAGTGGCCTAACTATTCAACATGCTTCTGCTAATCTGTATACAATATTTCTTTTTCTCTCTCAAATCTATTTTTGCACCTTGATTCTGATGAAAGTAAGATGAAAAGCTTCAATGTCCTCTTAGCTATGTTTAAATTTTAACATACAAGGTAGGTTCATTTTTGGTGATATTAAGTTTTCCCTCATCAATCTGTCGAGTAAAATGTGGCATTAGCACATGGGATTTTGGCCTAAAAAAAATCAAGAGAGAATTCATCTTCAATGAAAAAGATGATCCCTTTAGCTCTAACGTTAGAAATGAACTAACAACAGAAACACGAAAGAATCAGCAAGAACTTAGCATACCTCAGATCCAGATGAATCAGAAGCTCCAATGTACAAAGTTCTAAGGAAACAGAACTAAGCTTGTTGAAACCAAGATTTACATCAGTGATGGTGGCCTTAAGTTCTGAAATCCTGTATGGCAAGATAATATTTAATAGTACTATTGACATCTTAGTATCTTCTTCAAAAAACAGAGTTTTGACTAGCATTTCACATTTAATTTTTGCCACACAAAATATAATTAAATAGAATTTTTTTTCCTTTGTCACCTAACATTTCTAAATTTTAAATCTATAGCCATTGTTTAGATGACATTCTTTTGCAATGCTATTTTGAAGCTGTTAAAAATAAATAAATTCCCCAAATCATAACTTTATTAAAATAGAAACCAACCACTTATTGCAATATTTTACAAAAATCAGCATTTTTGAAAAACAAAAATTAAAATTGAAGGTAATGATTGTGCATCATATCAGAAAAAAAAGTGAATTTGTTTGGCAGGAATCATGAAAAAACAGAGTTTCATGTACATACAGAACTGTGGAATTCTGAGGGCAGAGGGATTTGGGTGTTCTAATGCATTAAATGTACAAGTATAGCATGTAATCAAGAAGGCTAATTGGATGGTATCCTTGGATATGAGAGGAATTGGACATAAAAGGAAGGGTGTTATGACTCAGCTAATCAGGGAACTGATGGGACACCATCTCAAATATTGTGTGCAGTTTCGGCCTCCTCGTTTAACCAAAGACGTGAGTGCAATAGTGGCAATTCAGAGAAGGTTTACTAGATTGATTTACTAGAATGAGCAGGTGACCTTTTGAGGATAGGTTGGACAGGTCGAGGTTGTTTCCATTGGATTTTAGGAAAACGAAAAGGTGACTTGATTCAAGTTGACAAGATGTTGAAAGGTCTTGAGAAAGTGGACATGGAAAGTATGTTTCTCCTTGTGGATCAGTCCACAACAAGGGAACACTTAAAATTGGGATGGGGGTGGGGGAAGGTCACCATTTTAGGATAGAGGAGATGGGTTCATTCAACATTTTTAAACAGACAGATAAATTCTTGTTAAGCAAGGAAATGAAGGGTTACAGAAGGCAGAGATAGTAGGAACTGCAGATGCTGGAGAACCTGAGACAACAAGGTGCAGGGCTGGATGAACACAGCAGGCCAAGCAGCATCATAGGTGCAGAAAGGCTGACGTTTTGGGCCGAGACCCTTCATCAGAAAAGGGGGAGGGGAAGGGGGTTCTGAAATAAATAGGGAGAGAGTGGGAGGCGGATAGAAGATGGATAGAGGAGAGGATAGGTGGAGAGGAAACAAACAGGTCGAAGAGGCGGGGATGGGGCCAGTAAAGGTGAGTGTAGGTGGGGAGTTAGGGAGGGGATAGGTCAGTCCAGGGAGGACGGACAGGTCAAGGGGGCGGGATGAGGTTAGTCGGTAGGAGATGGAGGTGCGGCTTGAGGTGTGAGGAGGGGATAGGTGGGAGGAAGAACAGGTTAGGGAGGCGGGGACGAGCTGGACTGGTTTTGGGATGCGGTAGGGGGAGGGGAGATTTTGAAGCTTGTGAAATCCACATTGATACCATTGGGCTGCAGGGTTCCCAAGCGGAATATGAGTTGCTGTTCCTGCAACCTTCGGGTGGCATCGTTGTGGCACTGCAGGAGGCCCAGGATGGACATGTCGTCTGAGGAATGGGAGGGGGAGTTGAAATGGTTCGCGACTGGGAGGTGCAGTTGTTTATTGCGAACCGAGC